GTTCATCTTCCAGCCGTGGAGGTTTGAACTCAACCCACACTGGGGCCTAAAAGTCAGGCTGTCTGTCTCCTCTTGGCAAGAAAACATGCCTCGCTCACATTACAAAAAATCTGTTACCAACCACTTAACATGAACCTAAAACGGGTAAAATGCTCAGAGCACATGATGAAACAGACGACGTGAAAGTCAGCAACAGTCAGCAACACACTGACAAGAAGCGGCGCATCAAATAACCCACAAAGGCAGCGTTTCTGTTTGTTGCTGCATTGTTGTTTGACATAAACTCATGCTGTAATTAAGTAACATGATGAGACGCTGCACAGCGAGTGAAAAGAGACGCTGACATTAAACCGGTCCATAACAACACGTAGGTGTGTGCGACGCTCGTGTGTGACTGAGCTGTCATGCTTTGCTGCAGGAACACATTATGTCTTCATCTTCAGCTTTGGCTCTGGGCTCCTGTTGAAACGCCTGCAGTGCATGCATGCATATATGTGTGTGTGCACTCCGATGCAGGCTCTGATTGAGACGAAGCATTTTAAACAGAAGTAATAATTCGTCAATGCGCGGCTTCCTTTGGTTGTTAAGACTCACTATTCCTCCTCAGCCATTTTTACTCCTTCTTTTCGTGGTGTCACAGTCTAAACTCGGTCTGACATCTCTTCTTCATTATGCGCTCCCTGTCACTTCTCTCGCCGGGTTTGAAGTTTCTCTCTCTTTTACTGCAGTTATCAGATGCTCAGAGCAGATGGTTCGAGCGTCTGGGAACAGCAGTCGAGGCAGGTTATTCAATTTACATTTTGGGTGTTTAGCCGACTTACTTATCAAGAGCGACTCGCGGTAAGTGAGCAGATAGCGGCTTCGGCGTCTTTCTCACTGTCACTTGCTTCCATTATTTTTTACGCAGTATTTTTCTGCAGAGATCCTATTATTCTTACATTAGCTGCACCATCACAGCGTTTTAACACACGATTACGGTGACATTCGGCCTTTTACTTGTGCATCAGTGAAATGATGAATAAAGCTCTGAGTGATAGCAAAAGGCTTGTTTATGAGTTGTGAAGTGACAACAGTCTGTGATTTGATTTTTTTTTTCACTATTGGGACTATACCTTGTGTTTATATTTAGAAAATGGATCGCGCCTCAAAACAGGAAACTCTCAGCAGTCTGACAGAAAGAATGAATGCAGGCTTTGTTTCAAAGATTTCCCGTCGACTGTACGGACACTGGAGATGATTGGCGTGTACTTTATTCTTAAAGAGGATTTACCCAACTTTTATGCAAATTACCACCAGGGATACAAAATGTTGTATCAATGAAAAGTGGATTATGGCATGAGATGGAAGCTCTCGCTCTCTATCTTTTCAAAAAGTGATTTATGATTTTACAAAAACCCTCTTATTTCTGTAAGACACTGTGCCAAATGCATGGAAACGCTTAAGATCTGGCTCGCTCCCCAAGTGTTTTGTTTATTTATTTATTTTCTTGTTCGTTCTGAGAAGCTTTACTGAATCACAATACAACACCCGTGTTTTGAATCTCCAATATGTAATAAGCATGTGATTGGCACAATTTTCCAGCCTTATTATGCAGCATATGTCAAACATCAAAAGCAAGCCGTGTGAAATGTGAATAGAATTACCTCCTATGAACCGACGTATCGACAGATTAAAACACCTGTTGTGAGGACAGATGTGAAAAGAAAAAAAAATGTTTTCCCCAGAATTCTATGAAACCGCTTTAGTTGAAAATGTGCATCACACTGTGTGAGTAAAATAAAATGTTTATGGAGCGACTATAAAACTGTGTCTCTGAAAAGCCGCTGCAGCGGGGGTTCGTGATGCTGAAAGTTTTTTCTTTTATTTTCACTTCTTGATGAGAACGCTATGAAATGACTTGAGATTTTCTCGTTGATTATCCGCAGCGACGGCGCGGCAGATTGCTGGTTATAGGTTTGCAGCATATCGCTCCGTCTCTGTGTGCTTGTAAAAACAGATGCCATGTTTGCGACGGTGCCACGAACGTCGCTTCTTCCAGACTTTAAATCACAGACGCCCGCGCCTCAGTGGTCAACTGGCAACGATAAATCTTTTTTTTTTTCCTTCTCTCACATTTTCTGACTCCGCTCAAAAGCACGACAGTTTTTTTTTTTTTTGCAAACGAGAAACGTGCTGAACTGCTACTTGGCCGATCATTGTGTGGCTCTCTGGCATCTGGAAAGTGCTGTAAATTGACCTTTTAGATGATTTCTCCCATGTGAGGCTGCTCCAAAAGGTCAAAGCCGTTCGCTGTAAGTAGCCCTTTAGTGGATGCTGAGACGTGTGGAGAGACGGCGTCTTCAAGCAGCCCGACAGCTTAATGATCGCGTCACGTCTCGTCTATAATTTCGGCCACTGTTTCACTAAAACCTCGTGCCTTCCTCCTGAGAATTGTTGTGGATGCGTGTAATCTCCTAAGCGGATTTGGGGGGAGGAGGAGGGGGAGAGTTAAAAGAGGTGGGTGCTTTCCTTGCACAGAGGACAGCGGTCCTACAGGTTGCGAGACACTAATCCTGTTCAAGGCCACAAAGTCTTCACCCTTTGCAGCTTTCACAGTGGGCACGAGCAAAGTGTCGCACTCACAGTTTTGGGGATTGTAGCTTATCCAGCTCTGAGGAATAAGCCGGCGATGATTCCGGCTTCACACAAACATATGAATATTTTCCCCCTTTCTTGATGTTTTTCCCTTTCTCTTTGTTTGACAGGAACATCGGCAGCCATTTGTCTATTAACAAGAGCGTGGACGCCTGCATCGGGTCAGACAGTCACGTGACCTCGTTAGAGCACGTCCAAGCCCGGCTCACTCTGTCCTACAACCGGAGGGGAAACCTGGCCATCCACCTCATTAGTCCTGCCGGTACACGCTCCACTCTGCTCCACCCCAGGTACACAAAAACAAAAACTACACGAGCACAGATACAGTACAAGTTGGTAAACATGAAATATTTTACACTCCAGCTTGTTGGCTTTTCCTGCAGGCCTCATGATTACTCATCGGAGGGTTTTAATGACTGGGCTTTCATGAGCACCCACTCCTGGGACGAGAACCCCAGCGGGGCGTGGACGCTGGAGATTGAGAACGTGGCCGGTGCCAGCGACTACGGTAAAGCAGCTTTGTTCTTTGATAGATGGGATGAAGACATTTCTGCCATAAGTTTTTGTAGCTAGAATTCAGAGCTTTCCAAGTTATCCCGACCTGATGTCAAAGTACAATCCTTACTTTTTTGATTAAGATTTAAAGACTTTCTAATCACAGGTCCTCTGAGTTCAAGGGAATTTGTTCATATTTCCATCTGACCTGCAGTCTTGGACCTATAAAATATTCAATGTGAACCAAAGAAGAGGACAACTGTCATGGGTCTTTAGCGCCAGGTCACCAGGACGGCTTTAAATGGCTTGGATACGTGCATGTTATTTAACTTGTTTTAATCTGTTGAGTCTACAGTTCAGCTCAGCGGTTAAAGGTTTAGCACCGGGAGATTAGAGATCAAGAGGTTCCTGAATCCAAAGTGTCTGCTCTTTTTATAGGAGGCGACTCTGTAGAGGTCCGCCGCCATCAGTGTAGGAAGAATGGCAAAGCAGTCTTTATGTTTTCCCTCGCATCATCCAAACCTGGACGCAGCAGGTCCACCCCCAGCGTGATGTTCAGCCAAAAAAAATCTCCAGAACTACAGATTTAGATCAATGTCTCACACCGCCCCACTCAGTAACGAGTGATTTACTAAAGTAGAGCCTCTCTCAAGGCCCCACACTCCAATGATTCTTGAGAGAGGAGCACTTTATAACTCTTGTTAGGCACAGAGGGAAATTATTCTGTCTTTAAATTTGCAGCTCGTGTCAAGGAATCATTTTTCGTCACCTTATGCAGAAAATCCAAAAGTCAGAGGATACATTCACAAAGTCCACCCTCGGCGATGCGGGAGCCTCCCTGTTTCTGACGGGCCTGCTTCTCTCCCCGGTTAATCTGAGTTTTTATCTCCACCTCTCCGCTCAGGCACTCTAACCCAGTTCGTCCTGGTGCTGTACGGTACCGGCTCAGCATCTTCCAGCTCCTCTGAGAAGTCTCAGCCTCTCAACGGCAACTGCAAGACCTTGGATCTGAGGCAGATATGCATCGGTAAGACCAGTGTTTCCCGTCTGCTCCTCGCTAGAACTTCCAGCTGCTGAGGGGAGGGGAATGGAAAGCCATGTTGAGCTGTAACATGTGAAGCAGTCTGGTTAGCGTGAATGGGATGATTTATTGTCCCGTGTGTGCTCAGCTGCATCTGTTTGCGTTCTACTTGTACATCAGTTTTGCAGCGTCACACAATTATCCCATTGAAAGGACCGAGCGAGCTTCATGCCATTGTGTCCGACCAAATCCAAATAGTGCTGAAGGCAAGGTCTAAAGACACGACTGAGCTCCAGCAAAGTGTGAAGTCCACCTACATGTGGTCTGAAACAGTGACAGTCTGACCCCTACAGGCTGTCAGAGGCACCTACATGCTGACACACAAAGGGGAGCTGAGCATCATGTATGCACATAATCATCATGTTGTGAGAGTCTTGTCATGTCGTACACAACGCTCCCTCACTTGGGGCACACAGCTATAGTTCTCTGTGTTTTTGAACAAGTTGACAAGATGCAGCAGTAAATTGGATTTTCCTCCTTCTGTTGGCTCTCCTGTGTTCGGCTCTGTTACCCCCGGTACCCACAGTCTGCTAATTGTCATTATAGGCAATGGTCTGCATCTGGATGTGCTGCATATGGAAATGTGTCTGTTGATTTAAAAATGCTGCATTCAGCATATAAATAGCAACGCTCTTTGTCATCAGTTTTTAGCCAGAAAAAAATGGCGACTAGAAGTAAAATTGCATTTAGTTTCACTTTTCCTGCAGTAGAACAGCCCGTACATGAATCAGTGCAGAACCGTTGGACCCGACCTGACAGCCATGTTAACTGCGATGCTCTGACTGTCAGGGCAGGAATCCTGGTTCTGTTTTTTTGGCTTGTCTGACTCATACGAGGAGGTGAAAGGGGGGCGCGGCTGCTTATTGCTGTTTCTGTGTTGCAGAGTGCAACGGCGGCTACTACCTCTTCCAGCAGAGCTGTGTGAAACAGTGTCCACCAGGCTTCTCAGTGGGCTCCCAGCCTGTCAACTACACAGTGGGAAACTCCATACCACCAGCGTCCGTCCCCGCCTGCCTGCCCTGCCTGCCGCCCTGCCTGACCTGCAGCAGCCTCAGCCCTCAGGCCTGCCTGTCCTGCCCTCCTCACAGCTCCCTGGACCCCATTTCTGGAACCTGCCTGCACCTCAACCAGTTCATGCGCGAGACCACCGGCAGCTTCATGGTGAGCCAGGGCAGCACGAGAGCACAGCTTCAGCTCAGCTCCAAGCTGCCCATCACCATCGCCGTGCTCAGCTGCATCGCCATCATCGCCACCTTCGCCGGCATCTTCCTGCTGCTGCAGCTGCGCTCAGGCGCGCTCATCAAGCTGCCCTCCCTGGAGGCCGGCGGTGGCCTCGGGGGCAGCTTCAGCCTCGGGGGGAATAGGGTGGTGTCGTACCGCGGCATCCCGACAGTCTGGGGGGATGACGGGGTGAACACAGACTCCGAAAATGAAGAGTTTGACGTCCAGAATGAGAGGACTGCCTTTATCAAAACACAAAGTGCTCTTTAATGCCTCCCCCACGTCCCTCTTTTCTCTTCTGCTTTTAAAATCTTCTCACCCTCATTTGTCTGATAATTCAGGGCTGTGGTAACTGTCTGTTCACAGTCTTTGCTGGTTTTTATCTTCTCATTCATTTTTTTTTTTTTTCTTTTCCTTTCTCCGTCTTATCGGATTCTCATCTGAGCCCCGTTCTGGGATCTGGTCTTCCACTCTGCTGTGGGAGACCTGATGGGAAGCTGCTGTCTCTCAAAGCTCTGGATGGCCTGAGCTTTGCTCTATTCACACTTGGGCGCATTTCTATTAAACTGGCTCTCTCCCTCCTCTTGCCCTCAATCACGAACAGTGTCTGTCTGTGCAGAGTCCATTTTCCCCTCCAGCTCCAGCTCCTTTTTGTTACAGTAAACAAATGATTATTATTTGCTTTCTTCCTCTTTTTTTTCTCCTCCTCTTTCCATTAGTCTCAGTGCAGTAGCCAGACGAGATTGTTGAATGCGAGTAGTGGAGAAGTGTGTGTGTGTGTGTGTGAATGAATCGTGTGTGTGTGAATGTGAGCGTGTAAATCTGATGAACAGTGTAGTGCCCTTTATGGAGAGGCTTAAGCGGGTTCTGTCATATTTAGTATTTTAACTAAACAGCGATAACACAAAAAGAAAAAAAAACTGTATTATGAGGCATGAAATCCAATTTGGAAACATTTTTTTTTTCTCTCCAGAGTGACACCGACGTCTACAGTCTGTTCAGAGTAGCACCACTTCGCTTCACATTTTTTTAAAAACACGACGGTTTGATGAAGAAACGTGCTGACTCGGCTCGTTTAGAATCGCACGCCACCAATCAGAGAAACAAAACCCACCGAGAGCTTCCCGATCGGGCCCGTCTCTGACGTCTTCTCTTTTTACGACCAGACAAAAGCGCTATTTGCTTTAAGAACAATCTGTCTTTCATGCAGTCAGCTTTTCAAAAAAACCAGCACAGTTTTTGTTCCCTTTGTGCACACGATCTGTAATGACCTCCTCCATCTCTGCAAGAGCAAACCGTGACTCACTAAAAGCTGCCTCCAGCCTTTTGGGATTCCAGATGAACTGAACTTATTCTGGTTTTTTAAAAATCTGGACCAGCGCATGCAATTGAGAAATAATAAGAAAACAGGCCACTTGATCGGCCCCGAGGCACCGTCCCTCCCAGACACAGTTAATTCCTGCATCCCGGTGTGCTCCCAGATGCTGATGAGGCCCAGGACATCGTGTGAGCAACGGTAGTTTTTCATAGCGGCTGGCAGGTGTTGAGTTACCTGTGATTGATTTCTTGACGGAGCAGACGCGGTAACAATACATCAAGGCTTTCCTTTTGTTAGAGCACATCAACACTACAAACACACTCGTCTCTTAATGATTGAAAGTTAGCTCGCATGTGTGTGTGTGTGTGTGAGTGTGTGTGTGTGTGTGTCTCGCATGTGAGGATGAGAAATGTTTATCTGCCCTCTGAAGTGAAGCTTTTTTTTCTGTTTCCTCCTTCGTCTCGCAGCTTCTGCTCTGCCCTCCTCTTCAGATCTCCAATATTGTTTTAAAAGCCGCTCATCGAGACTCCCCATCTCCTCTCTGCACTTCCCCTCCAGTCCTCGTCTAATCTGAATTTCAGATTATGTCTTCGGCGTACTCGCCAATTAATTATATTCCGAATGATTCCGCAGCAAACTTATTTATTCGGAGAGATTTTAATCACACCTTTAGGGAAGATTGTTTTAAAGTGATTTTTCCTCCCAGGCTGGTTATCATCTGAACTACGCATCTCATTATTTAATCCAGTGTAGCCATTTTTTTTTTTTTTTGATTCCAACTGATCGCTTTTTTTTTTTTTGTCGAAATTATTATTATTTTTAATTTCCACTACAAAAACAAGTGGAGCTCGCTGAGAGAGGTTGTCATGGTGATGACGTGCACAGAAAGCTGCAGCTGCTCACCCTTTTATCTACCTCTCATATCATTCAGCGAGGTTTCGTACGCTGTTAGAGGAGCTGATAAATGATTACGGAGGTCAAATCAGACGCAGGGGGGGAAAAGATTTTTTGGGGAAAAATAAGCGATTCAGAAACTGTAAAGCTGCTGCGCAAATTCTGCTCCTATCTCGCCTAAAAAGTGTATTATTGCCTTTAGGATCAGCATTCATGTGCGCTCACACCTGGGCTTTAAAACCTGTTACAGAAATAGACCGGCTAGAACAATAGTCCAATAGATCTTGCTGGTCAGCGTTTAAGTGCCAACCCAATCTAAAATTGTTGGGGGCGTTTTATTTTTCCATCTCTACCCGTGCAGCTCCTCCAGGAGTTTTTCTTTCTTTTTCTCTTTTTCTTTTTTTTGTTCTTAAGTTCTGACAATCAAATGATTTCCTTCTTTTGAGGGCAACAAGGTGCAGAAGCACACAAACAAAATGTATTTTAATTTTTAATTTAACCGCTCGTGTTAGAAAAAACCTTCTCTAAAGTTGTTTTTCATAAATATGCAGAATGTCATTTAAATTGCAAAAAGCTCGTTCTAAAAGTCAAACGTTTATTCTTTAAGAAAAAACAAAATTTAACTCGGTAAAGCTACAAAGAATAATGATTCTCAATCCCAATACTTGCCAAAAAAAACAAAAATCCTCTTCAGAAGGATGGAGGAAGATTGGCGTGTGTGCTCTGAAACGCAGCGCCGAGCCAGGAAGCTTAATTCATCTCAGATGGCTGGTGCAGGTGTAGCACATTTGGCTCGCCGCGGCGGTTCCTGCATTGGAAGCCAATCCGAGGAATGTGGATTTGGAGAAAAATGCCCTCAGAAATGAACAAAGCTAATGTGGCGAGTGTGTGCTGCAGGGGTTTTGTGTGATGTACATTAGTGCCTACTGCCATTTAGGCTCTGATTAGTCCCAGTTTAAGGAGGGTGCTAATTTGAAAATGTAATAACTTCAGCCTCAGACTTGAGCCACAAAATCTTATTGACTTCCCAGCTTGGTGAGAAGTGTGTAAACAACAGATAATGGGCTAATGCAGCAACAAAATTGCTTCCATAAACTATTTTCTTCGACTCTGGATGCTTACGAGTTTGCTTCTTTTGAAGAAACCATAATGTGGGACTTTGACCAATTTGTTGCAATTACTGCGGCCTAATTGATTCTCAGCCTCGCCGACATTGTGCACCGAGCGTTTTCCCCCTCGCACAAGATTCATACGGCTTCCCGGAAGAATAGTTTCGGGGTGTTGAGACGAGTTTCTTGCGGCCCCCACGAGTGCACACACAGAATGATTTATTCATCGTAGCTTGATGTTGTATTCACTACAGCCAGAAAACTCTCAGCTGATGAACCCGCAGCTCTGCGCATTCGAGTGTTTAAGGAAATCACGAATGCAGGCAGCATTAAGTAGCCGGCGCTTCCAAAGCACAGGAGCTGCGGAAAACCATTAGCAGCCAGCTCATTCCTTCCACTGCGCGAATGTGATAGAAACTACACACTAAAAACAAGAAGAAGTTCTCTAATCGTGCCGGCTCGTAATTAAAAGGCTACCACTGGCAGTAACGCGAGGAGCCCTTTATACGGAAAAGACTCGCTCGTGCGGCCACGACGGAGACTTGTCTTTATGTGGCCGATTCGTCTCACGTGGAGCTCAGTGTTGCTCCAGTCCTGCTTTGAGGATGTAAGTCTGAAGTGACGGATATGAAGTCGGATGGAGTTAATAGGAGCAATATCTTTGGCATAACCAAAGACAATCATTTTAAATGCTGTCTGTTTCGTATTACGACGTGTTGCTTTCAGGTTCGTCGCGGCCCATCCAACCCCTCGCTCGTCTTCAAAGTGTTTCGTCGAAAACCCCGTTTTTGCCGTCATCTCTGCCTTTTCCGAAGATCCGCGGCGACACCCTTGTATGTTTAGCAGCTGTGGAGGGAAGGAGGTAGAATGTATCCCATCGCCATTAACTTAAGGGCTGAATCCGATCTGCGCGCGTCCGTGTGTGCACATGCTTGTTAAGTAGAAATGAAACACTTTTGCGATGGAGGGGCGGTAAGCGGAGCAGCCTCGGTCGACTCTTGTCGGCTTTCCTGCCGCCTCGTCGCGAGGTTCCTGACCTGTGGCTGCTCACAGTACCTTACAGATTTGTGACCTATGATTAATGTACAAGAATGACTATCTTACATGGGACATAACTCTAAAATAAGGCCTATTTTTGTACTATATGAATGGTGCAGTGTAATTTTCTTGTAATTTAAAGATTTTTTTTTTTTTTTTTGCTCTTGTTTTCTCCTTTTTATTTAATTGATGTCAATTATAGATTCTACTAAAAAAAAATAAAGATCTATGCAAATTTGAATGTGTTTTTATTCACTTGGATGCTTCTTGATGCGAGTGTCGGTGGATGCAGGACAACTTAAGTCGTAGTTCAGGTCTCCTTCAGCGGGTCGCAGAATAAATTCATGAGATGGAACAGAAAAGAAAAAAAAAAGCTACTCAGCTCTCACGTTGGAATCTGTTTTCATTTTTCTTCTTTGAGTTTTTTCTTTTTTGGGGGGAACATTTCTGTAAATGGTGAGTAATTTGATCGGGGCCTCGAACAATTTTGAAACCATTTGTGAAGTTCAAAGGGAAAATGTCTCTTATTTCTCTGAGTCAAAAGTGTTTCATTCAGTCATTTTACAGCAGCAGCGTCACTCACTTCGATCCAAACTGAAACGTCCCAACAACCATTAGATCCCCCGGCATGAAATTATGCATAGACACAGATCCAAGACATTAAATCCTGCTGACTTTGACAATGACCCAGCATAATGGAAAATAACACAGCACATCTACTCAGATACTGTACTTGGATACACCGTTTGGAGAGTTTTTCAGCTCGAATACAGCCGACTTCACATTTAAGAGTGAATTTTTCCCTCCTGCATGTATTAATTTACGTTTATTGGACATGTGGAGTTCCTACTTATGTTGCAGATTAAAGTTTACACACAGAACACGGATAGTTTCTAAAACATTTTGCCTCGTTTGGGGCACAAAATAAACTCATCACATGATTTTACTCCAGCAGTTTTTTTTTTCTTTTTGCATGCAAATCATCTCCAACTTTGTGTTTAAAATGAGGTTTTCTTTGTCATTATTATTTTTATTTATCATAATTCACTCTTTTATTTATTTATTTTTAAGCGAGTGTACAGATTGGTCACGCTTAATGAGTTTATCATCGGCATAGAAACGAGTACTACAAGTTGGAAAGTTATTTAGGTATAAAAATGCTAACATGCTAACTAGGGGGCTGCAAGTTGGCTCAGTGGTTAGCACCGTCGCCTCACAGCTAGAA